CCCGGCCGCGTTCATCCACCTATATAGCCCCCTACACTATCTACTATAGGCCCTAGCTAGGCAAAACCTCTATAATTATCCTGCGCTTCTATTTTTCTTCTAGATACTAAAAACACCACTCCTATATAGTACTAGATCCCTTCTAAACTAAGCACTTATCTAAGAACTTAACCGTGCGCTGGTGCTAAAGAAAGCTCTAGTATTAATATAAGAATCTATAGCGTTAACGAGCATGCTAGAGCTTTAACATTAGACGCTTTTTATAGCGGTATTTACTAAGATTGCGTTCTTTAAGGACTTAGTATAATATAGAGTGGCTAGAGAGCTTTAAAGGGGTCCTATTAGTATTAATAAATACTGCTTCTTAAGTAAGGTTTTTATATAGTATTTTTAGTAATTTTCGTGCCAGCCAATAGACGATCTTTATCTAATAGGGTGATATTATCTTTAGACGGCCAGAGCGAGGCTTATCATCTATAGTACTAGTGTAGTGAAATTTTTTGTATAGTTTTCTAATCGTGGAGGGGTCACGCCTAAAAACCTTATCTACCTCTCTAAAGCTTGCGCCGCCTCGTAACATCCCGACCGCGATATTACGCTTAGTAGTTGTCATATTTTAGCGACGGCGCACATTTTGAGATACCGCTTGGCCGAATTGGCGTGGTGTAGCGTTAGTGGTGGGCATTCAAAGAATGGGGCAAGGTTGGTGTTGGTGGGGCAGGGGAGCTTAGCGAGGCCAGACTTTTGACGAGTAGCTGTATATCCATAGAAGAAAACACAGACAAGATGGAAATAAGGAGAATGATATGAGCAACAACATTTTTGCATTTGGATAAATATCCGTCGCAAATTATTTTCCATATAACAAAAGATTTCGTTATTTCTTTTTTATATAAAAAACTATTCCGCGCTGAATAGATGAACCAAGAAGACTTTTTTGCAGAAAAAAAATTTCTGTACGTGCTACCCGACATCCACATACCTGGATGCAATATCGTTTTTTTTTACACCACTGTTTTCAACATATCCGACATGTTATACCATCACCCCAACGTACCAAGCGGATACGCATCCGATATGTTACCCCTGTCTGGTGTAATAACCGGCACACTCTTATACTCAGGTACCTCGACCTTTTCTCGCGCCCACTCCGGGCTTCTACGCGCCCTGAGCAACTGCTCAACCGCATACGCAATACCTAGCAATTTCTGTTCCTCCCATGGTCTACCCATGATTTCCATGCCAATTGGTACGCCGACTGGCGCATCTTGGCTTGGCTCTGAGAAGCCTACTGGCACTGTGATGACGGGTGTGCCGGTGAGTGCAGCTAGGATGCCATTGCGTCCGGATTGCGAGGGTGAGCCGATTTTGACGACGAGATTCTTTTGTGCGGGGTATATTATTGCGTCGAGGGCATTCGATGCAAAAGTGTTGAGAAGGGTGAGAGTGAGATTGTGGATTCCGGCTTGGCGGTCGTTGTATGTTTCGTTGGAGATTGAAGAGATGAGAGCGGTATTAACGTATTCGTACTCGGCTGGAATGACAAGGAATTCGCCATTAGAGCCGTTGACGGATTTGCGGGAGTAGAGTTCGTTTAGGGTGTTAGGGTGCTCGCCTTGTAGTGATGGCCGCTGGAGGTACTGGTCCATTAGCTCGCGGAACTCGAAGCGTTGGACGTCCCACGAAGCTTGAATGTCGGTCGCATTGTATATGGTATCGTTGATGGGCACGATTGTTACACCTTCAGCTTCCAATCGTGATATAGCAGAGTCCATGGCGTTGTTTACAGGTGTAACTTCTGGTGACTTGGAGCGGTTGAATAGACCGTTCAGCACTCCAATGCGCAGACTCTTGGTGGAAGTGCTGGAAAGGGAAGAAGTATAGTCAGGCATGCGAATTGAACTGGGAATGAGTGCGGTCGCCTTGTCAGTTGGATCGTAGCCGGTCGACGCCATAACAGTGAGTGTGATCGCCACATCCTTGATAGTTCGTGCGATAGGCCCAATCACATCGTGAGTAGATGATATGGGCATAATGCCTGTTCGGGTAATCAGGCCCCGTGTAGGACGAATGCTGCATAGCGAATTGGCAGACGCAGGACTGCGAAGTGAATTTACCGTGTCTGTTCCAGTACCTAATACACTGAAAGAGGCGGCAACTGCTGCTCCAGTACCCCCAGAGCTACCTCCGGGTGTCCGAGTAGGGTCATAGGGGTTAATAGTTTGGCCTCCGAATGAGGAGACACTGAGACCTTCGAGTGCAAGTTCGTGCAAATTGACCTTACCCAGAATAATAGCCCCCGCATTCTTCAATGCCGTTACACTCGGGGCGTCTATTGTAGGTTGAGAGTGGGCCAAGGCCAGGCTAGCGCCCGTAGTAGGCATGTCTGCTGTGTCGAAGTTGTCCTTGAGCAGTATTGGAATGCAGAAAAGAGGCCCAGTTGCATTGCCAGCTGAGAGCTGCTGATCCATCTCATCGGCGATTGCTAATGCTTTAGGATTTAATGTGATAACGGCGTTGGTCCGGTGGTTGTGAGCTTCGATATTCGCAAGAAACGAAGATACAACTTCCCGACATGTTGACAGCCCAGAGTAGAGTGCATGATGAACCGAGTCGATGGTTGCCTCCCGTGCATCGAAAGGCATGTTCAATCTTGACGCGACACGGCCAAAAAGTGCTACAAGGGGCAGAGTTTTCAAGTTCACCATACTGCAAGGCCGAGTTTTAGTATTTGAGCAAAGAAATAGACAACGGAGTTTTACCAAATTGCCAAATTTATTATTTATAAGATTTTCAAGTAGATGGCGCCTTGTCATACATCACAGCGGGTAGCTATCAAAACGGTATCTAGATTGAGACGATCATAGAGATGTATTCGATTGTGGTTTCTCGTAATGCCTGCCTGGCCTTATCGCAATGGCTGTATGCAAATACCGAAAATTGGAATGACGTCGTTTGCCAAGACTACTCCCACCTGCCTCATTGGCTCAAGTGTCTCTTGTAGTGCTTTTCGCTAGATCTGATGTGCAGATTTTACTTAGAGAATCTTTTGTTTCTCGATCACAATGCATGATATAGCGAAGGGTCGTGCCCTATATGGGGAAGACAACTCCTTGTGCGAAGGCGGTAGTGCAACAAAATGCGTACTGGAATGCTCTTCGCCGCTATGCCATCTGGTTCCGTGCACTTTTCTGCTAATTCTAGAACTGCAGCATGAAAGGAGTGCATGAAGCATTGGTGTATTCGTAAAAGTCCCATTGGTGTACAGTTGCTCGTCCAAGCCAGAACAGATCAAGAGTGCGAGCCATGCGTTCTGCACGCCATTAGGATTGTCGTAAGAGACTTAGACGTCAAAACCATATGTAACATAGAGAACAAAGGGCTTCAATGGGCGCACGAAACAGCTATTTTCATACCCATTCGCTTGTTGTAGCTTTCCGCTCAACAAGGAGGAACTGTTCCGAGGTTGCATAACTATGTTTCCAGTATTCCAGCAGTACTCATGCGCATCGTGATCAGACACATTGGCGGACCAATTTTGCATAGAGTTTGCGCCGGGCAAAGAGTTGCTCTTGGAAAAACGTCCGTTGGTGTTGGGTGCTTAGCGGGGGAGTTGGGGTATTGCACGTGCCTGAATCGCCAAAGCACGTGTTTGCCAAGAGATTGACTAAGGTGTGCGTCTCACCGTTGTCCTCACCAACAACCAGTGCCTCATTTCTCTTCCTCCACCAGTATGCTCTCCGCATCCTTCGCGCGCACCAACAGCCGCAAACGATCAGCTCAGGCCGGATCGTACTCATGCCGGTGGCAGGAACCTAACCACATCTTGTTTAGTCATCGATGAAACTGACGATGCGACACCAAACTCAATTTTACGCCCAAAACGGCTACAGCCAGGTCCCTAGTTGCACGTTTTCGTGCATCACCATTTGTAAACACACAGCCAACCTTATTTGACCGCCACCCTGATATTCGCTTGCACGGATGTTCCGCACTCACCGGACAATCGTGACTCGTCTTCATTGCGGCTGATGGCGCTGCTTGCTGCGCCGTCCGAGTTTAGTTGTACACCAAAAACACTGACTAGAGCGACTGTCTCTTTACACCTTCACCGCTGTGTACGGATTAGGATCCTAAGAACCAAAATTATTTCAATTACGATGGGTCTTATGCCTGTTTCGCAATAGTGTTCCTGTTGCGGCCTGCATGGAATCCTACAGCCTCAGCCACTTTCCGTTTCACAACACGATATCGCAGGTGTTATGGAGAGTCATTGGAGTTACCCGCCAAGCTTTGGTATGTACGCTAGTAGATGCTTAGTTACCACAGGTCTCGAACTGCTTGCCAGTCGAACCAATGGCGACCAGTTCACTGCTCCACAATATACCAAAAAGATACCGATCAGCTTTGGGTTTACCCGTCTTCCGTGGATACAGACTTCATATAGCGTTTTCTTACGAGCCAACGTCTCATCACTGGCTACCAGTATCACGCATTGCTCAGGTTTGGCGAGACTAGTCTGGGCTTGCGATGGCGGAGACGCCGCTATTTCCAGGCTAGGAGTCTTCAACATTTGTTTCCCGAGGCTGCTCTTGCCTCAATGGCGTTTCGCGATCTTGTTCTTAGCATCAGTATTAACACTAGAGTTGTTTTTGGAGTTTGTTCACAGTTTTGAAACCTGGACGTAGGACCGTCGCACGTCTTGGCCAAACCGGAGTGCCTCACTAGGGCGGGACCAGGCATGGCCGCGGCAAGTTGGGCCTTTGACGGTCCATATGTGCTTAGAGTCTATGGCTTCCAAAGTTGTATAAAGACTGACAGTGCCGCCGCTGAAGAAGGGCATCCAGCATCAAAGGTTCCCAACCAAAGCAACTACAGTAATAACCACTGTTCCATTCTACTTAATACCCTTTACTTTACTTTCTAATCTTACTCTGACCGGTTCAGACATCTTTTTAAAATCACTCAAAATGTACTTCTCCAAGACCTCCTTTGTTTCCTTCAGCCTTTTGGCTTCTTCCTCGCTCGTGGCTGGCCACGGAGCTATCATCGCCGCCACTGGTGATGCAGGTGGTGCTGGCTCTGCCATCGGTGTCGACCCCAACACTCCTCGTGACGGTACCAACCGCAACCCCTTCCAGCAAGATTCTACCCGCTTCCGTGGCGATGCCGCAGCCACTTGCGGTGAGACTCTTGGTGGAGGTGCCAACGACATCCAGGCTGGCACTGCCCAGGTCATGCAACTCAACGGTCCTACTCTTCCTCAGGTCACCGCCGGTGGTCAAGTTATGATGACTGTCCACCAAGTCAACTCCGACGGTGCTGGTCCCTACACCTGCATGATCGACGCCACCGGTACCGGTACCGCATGGCAACCCATGACTGTCACCCAGAACCTTCCCGGTAACGACCGTGGCCGCAACCGGGACACTCAATTGCAAGATCAGCCTCTTACTGCCACTGTCCCCGCTGGCATGCAGTGCACTGGTACCGTTGCTGGCCAGACTAACGTCTGCATGGTCCGTTGCCAGAACCCTGCTCGTGCTGGACCTTTCGGTGGCTGCGTGCCTGTTCAGATGGCTGGTGCTGCCGCTGCCGCTCCCGCCGCTGGTGCTGCCGCCGCTGCTCCTGCTGCTGGTGCTGGTGCTGCCACTGCCGGTACTGCTGCTCCTGCTGCTGGTGCTGCCACTGCCGGTACCGCCGCTCCTGCTGCTGGCGCCGCCACTGCCGGTACTGCTGCTCCTGCTGCCGGTGCCGCCACTGCCGGTACCGCTGCTCCTGCCGCTGCCGCTCCTGCTACCGCTGGCATTGCCACTGGTGCTACCACTGGTACCGCCGGTACTGCCGCCGGTGTTGCTGGTGCCGCCGCACCTGCTACCGCTGGCACCGCTGGAACCGTCGGCACTGCTGGAACTGCTGGAACTGCTGGAACTGCTGCCGCCCCCGTCGCTGGTGCTGGTGTCGCTACTGGTGCCACTGGCGCTGTCGGTGCCACTGGTGCTACCGGCGCTGCAACTGGCGCAACTGCTCCCGTTGCCGGTGCCGCTGCCCGCAAGCGCGAGGCTGCCCGCAAGCAAAAGACCCAGCCCGCTCTCACCAACGACGACCAGGAGGAGGAGGTCGACCTTGTCGGTGATGAGCGTGACTAAATCTGCTCACCTACCCGCATCTTCCAAATCAATGACGAATCAATCAAACGGCGCCTCTCCGATACGATCATGACCTCGAGCCTGGAAGAATCCTTTGGGGTTTTTTTCAGACTCTAATCACGAACGAACGAACGAAAACTTAATACCAAAATGTGGAGGTGGAGAGATATGAGAAAGATGTATACAATAATGGCCGAAAACAACAACAAAAAAACCGATCTGATATAAGACGGGAAAACTAACGGTGGGGTGAAGGTGTAATTTTTTTTCTTTTCCTTTTCTTTCTCTTTCTGGGATCATCTGAGCTGTGCTCGTGTGAAGGAAAGGGATCGGGGAATGAGAGGGAGAGAGAGAAGTAGGATGGAATCTAGTTATTCGCTGGTTATTTACTGTGGTTTGCCTTGGGCTTGGGAACCCGAGTCTGATTACGCTCCTTAATTGTAGAGTTCTACGTAGGACCCCCTCTGGTTTGTTTTTACTCAGTAGATAAAATCGCTGGAGGGATTGTAGATGTGCTATAATATATATACTTTTTTTAACATTACTGGGGCGTGTTTTTTTTTGCAACCCTTTTTTTTTCCTTGTGATTGAACTTCTTCTTATCCCTTTGCTCCTTCTTGCAACTTTTGGGGAACCAAAATAGCTGGCCAAAAAGTGCCCCCCCCCCCCGGGCACCACAGCTGTGCAACCTCTTAATAACACTAACACTACGCACTGCTTAGCTATGAAAATTTAAAGAGAATAAATAGTAATGTACCAAGTTAGACTTCTAGCACTTTCGTAGATTTCATAACGCTGCTTATACTAGTGACTTTTGCCGTAATTTGAGCTAATGTTAGATGTAGTTTATATCCAGCTATTTCAGTTCCCCAAGAGCCTTGCCACGACCTTTTTACTCAGAATGTGGTGGCACTTGTCTTGCTCATCTTCATTTTCACGACGTTGGCCTTGTAAATCAGGCAAGTGATGTCTAGCTAAGCTTTTCTTGGTAGGGCTCGGGAAATCTTCACGCTAGTAGCCCGTGTGGTGTGTGTGTGTGGACCATGCCCTCTTTTATTTTTAGGGGGGGGAGGGGGGCAAGCGCATAAACCTGGATGCTGTGGCGGTGCGGAACCGTCGGATGAATGCACCGTTTCAGAAGTGGGCGGAGGAAGACATGGGTGCTCCATGTGCCGGGAGATGCGTTGCAGCGCTGTTTCAGGGATGATGGGGGGGGAAAGATTTCGTCCCCGATTTTCTGGAGATGAGATTGATTTGCCGTTTGATATACACAGGGGGACGCATGATGTAGAATGAGATCAGATAGTGATTGTGGCTTCGTGCGGAGTGTGAGAGGGGAAAACTGATGGTCGGGGTTGTTGTGGGCTGTGAAGGCGGCCACATGGCGGCTATGTTTCAGAAACACAAAGTGACGCAAAACGGTGCCTAAGAATATATACAGACAGAAGCGGAATTTGAAATATATGTCGGACTTCTGACTAGAAATGTAAGTGACAAATATGATAACGAACGATGTCAATTTTTTGCAGGTGTCGAGGGTGTGACCAGAAAACTGTGCATTTGCATTCCGCTTTTCTTTTGCACTCAACATGTGTCTCTACATAGATGAAATTCCCCAGTTGCTTGCCTTAATTGTAATTCCACATGCTGTTGTAGAATTCAAGCTCACCGGATGCAGTCACATTCTATTGCCAATTCGCTACAACACATCCAACAACAACAGACTGTACGACAGTCCGCACACCCTCACTTGAACTTCTTTGGCCAAATAACTTTTGCACAGAATAGAATGAACAGTGCGAACCTCGAGTTACCCATTACTTTTTGTTTTCGTCTTTTACAAGTAGATACATACATCAAACCCCAAGTCAAATGTCTTCAAGCATCTACAACAAAGACATCATCAACGCCGTCTCATGCTCATCATCACCTCTACCGCCAACACCTCGCCATGCACCGCCCGTATAGTCTCCAGCAGTACACTGTGTCTTGGGATAGAAAAAAAAGGAAAGAAAGAAAAAGGTATATATCGCTCAAACCATTAGAGCTTGAATTTTATGACTTGACCTGGAAGCATTGAATGCACTTATTCGCGCATGTTGACGACACAGCGAATGCAGTCACCAGCCTTCATGTCACCAAAGGCCTGGTTGATCTTGTCGAGTGGCTGGCGGTGAGTGATGAACTCGTCGACCTTGAGGCTACCCTGCAGGTAGTCGGATACGAGACCGGGCAGCTGGCTGCGACCCTTGACACCGCCGAAAGCGCATCCCTTCCATACACGACCAGTGACAAGCTGGAAGGGACGAGTGGAGATCTCCTGACCAGCAGCGGCAACACCAATGATGATGGACTCTCCCCAGCCCTTGTGGCAGGCCTCGAGAGCAGCGCGCATAACGTTGACATTACCCGTGCAGTCAAAGGTGTAGTCGCAACCGCCGTCGGTCATCTCAATGAGTTTCTCCTGGATGCTCTGGTTGCCGAGCTTGGTGGGATTGACAAAGTGTGTGGCGCCGAACTTCTTTGCCCACTCCTCCTTGGCGTCGTTGACATCGACTACGATGATCATGCCAGCCTTGTTCTTGGCGGCTCCCTGGATGACTGACAAACCAACACAGCCGGCACCAAAGACGGCAACGTTAGATCCAGCCTCGACACCACCTCGGCCGGCAGTGATGGTTGCAGCTCCGTAACCGGTGGTGATACCGCAGCCGAGCAGGCAGGTGCGGTCCATGGGGGCGTTCTCGGTAATGGCGACGACCGAGATGTCGGCGACCACGGTGTATTGCGAGAAAGTGGATGTGCCCATGAAGTGGAGGAGGTCCTTGCCCTTGCACCTGAAGCGTGATGTGCCGTCGGGCATGACACCCTTTCCTTGTGTGGCACGGATCTTTCCGCACAGGTTGGTCTTGCCGGACTTGCAGAACTTGCACTCCTTGCATTCTGGGGTGCTATCTTGCTGTTAGGTAGGTTCAGGTTATATGTGGGGTAGCTTGACGTACTATAGCGCAACGACATGGTCGCCTGGCTTTACGTTGGTAACGCCCTCGCCGACTGACTCGACGTAACCGGCACCCTCGTGTCCAAGGACAATGGGGAAAGCACCCTCAGGATCCTTGCCAGACAGTGTGTAGGCATCTTTGTGTGTTGTTAGTTGCTGATGTAGCAGAAGAGGCCAAAGGTTTTAACATACCGGTATGGCAGACACCAGTGTAGTAGATCTGGATACGGACTTCGTGCGCACGGGGTGGTAGGACTTCGATCTCCTCGATGGAGAGGTCCTTGCCGGCTTCCCAGGCCACTGCGGCCTATGTTCCCGTCAGCAATGATCTTCCTGTGGTTACAGACTGTGTCGTCATCTGCCGACTTCCGCTTCCGACGCCTCTGGCCCGCTAGTACCCGTGCGATTACATGCATGTTACAACACGTCTTGCGGACCCGCATGCCAAGATTCGCAGCCAGCTGGCGGAGAGGGCGACTGTGCTGTATGGAGGCAATTGATGCTCAAACGTACCTTGCAGGTGATTGTCTGTTGAGAACAATGTTAGCTGGTGTATATAGGCGACCTGAGCAAGATAGCTAGGCGTGATGGGACGTACCTTTCCAACGGTGTCTGCAGACATTGTGGATTGAGTGTCGAGGTTGTTTGTGTATCTGAAGAGTGCAAAGCAGCAGCAGCAACCGCGGTAGTTAAATAGCAAGAGGGGAAGAGGGGAAACACAAGCTATTACAGTCCCGTAGAGCGGCTCCGGTAGCTTTTATTTGAAGATGTGGGGTCAACAGCGACAAGCCAGCGTCATTCCGCTGCCCCTCCAAGGTCCATGCCCCTCACTTGCGGGCGCGATTCGGCGCATGTCGCGCGATACTCGCCCTTTGAGGCTCAAACTCGTAGCTGGCTCGGAAATGCCTGGATGCCTGGTCTTCTTGACACGGGCGCTGGCCATTGGCCGCTGTCGTCCGGGCATCTTAGCCAGATGTGGACATGTTGGTTGTAAAGCCAGCTCGGCAGTCGCGTTGCGGAACTGCTTGCCGCTTCGGGGTGACGGACACGACGAGCCAGTGTGTAGATATGCGCCATTCAGCAAAACCTCTCGCACACTACTGCACTCACAAACCGCCGCCCTTCGTCTTTATCAGCTTTGTGGCGCGCGTGACGTTTCTGGACCTGATACCTACCCATCGGCTACTTGGACCAGGAAAAGACCAACTGCGCGGAACTAGCCGGAGAATAGCTACATATCTATGCATGTAGAAAAATGTCATATCTTGGTATCTTCTAACAAACTGCTAAAAATCTAGACCTTGCAAATACACTGTGGTTGCTGCCTTTCGCTAACCAAACAAATAAAAAATGCCGTATTAGTATGCCCTCTGTCCTGCCCTTGCTCACGCCTTTGAAATACCTGCCAGAGCCTCACTTTCTTCCTCTAATATCCTGTCTGGTGTCGTTTGTTTGCTACTGGCCACTGATATGTCCTTGCCACCTTTACTCTTGCTTCGTAGCCTTCCCCAGCTCACGGTCCTCCTCCTGTTCTTCTCAGGTCCCTTGACTTCGTGACTCCACCTTCTCCTGACTGGCGGTCTTGTCGAATCCAAACCTATCAAGCCGCGGATCGCTGACACTTCAG